TGATGGAAAATGATGAAATTTGAATTCCATAAGGCATAAAAATAATATAGCAACTTATATTGGGTGTTTTAACCCCTGTGGGTGTAAGTCAAGCTATTCCTCCTTCCAGCAAATTGGAGAGAGAGGGAGGGAGGAAGGGAGGGAGGGAGGGAGAGGGAGAGAGAAAGAGAGAGGTATCCTTTAGAGCTAAAGACTGGTCAATAAGTTGGATGCTGCAATTTTGCAGGATGTTCTATCAGCTTCTAAATGTCCTCTCCTTCCATATAATGGTAAAAACATTTTTTGTTTTTGGTTTGGTTAGATTTTCGCGTCTTATAGAAGAAGAGGACATTTGGAAGCTGATTTTTCACATCCTCAAAAATGGCAGCAGCAAATTTACTGAACTGCAAAATAGAAAGCAGGATTACTGATCCTATTGCATCATAATTTGCATCACTTTTAGTCTTAATGCACACAAACACACACACTATTGCATCCTCTTGTTTGACAATAAGTTTCTTTAAGTCCTGGTACCAATTTATGATTTATTTGTAGAATGATAATGTTATCTTAATCACAACCTCAATCCCAACAACTGCTCCATTTTCCAAGCCACATCATTATTTCTTATCATTCTTTATATTTTGAGTTTCTGTGTATTGAAATATTCAAGATGCCCGCCAAACATCAAGTGATATAATAATATCATAAATAAGCAGGGTATTCAAAAGTCCATAACAAACTTTTGTGGCACTTTGATCTTGAATACCTTATTTAAGGATAATTTTCCCAAGTTTTTCCGACTTAGGAACGGAAATGTCCACATTGCATTCAAGCAAACAGAAATTGTCTCCAGAGTTCAGCATTCTGGTATCTTATCCCAAAATAAGCAATCTGTAAGAAACCAACAAAGGTGATTTCCAAACACAGGTGATGTCTTACAGATACAAGCAATTTTTTCCTTGAGAAATATTCCCCAGCAATTGAGGGGGACAATCTGAATTTTAAAATTTATTTCTTACCTGGATTAGCCCCACAGCTAGTTAATTCCTCTCACATCTCTTCCAGTTAATTACTTCCAGGTTGACTCTCCAGAGTAAATCTGTTGTGTTAGAATGAATGCCTTTTAAAAGTGGACAGAAAACCCCATTTTAATATCAGGGTTATTTTCAGAAAGGGGTAAGAATTATCCTTGGATTTTGATGAAGTAAAAAAAAGTTCTCAGGTGCGAGAGCCTTATTAACTACATAATACAGAAAACAGGTTTGAAGAAGAACAGAATAGGCAGGATTCTTCATTCCTGATTACCCAAATTATGCACAGATTTTTTTAAAGAATGAGAAAGAGAAGCTTTCCCAGGACCAGATATCACTAGAAAGAAGCATGGGAAAACCATACAAAAAAGGTTGTGTGCATGTTTATAAACAAATATCTCAATCTCAAATCGCTTTCAGGTTGCTATGTATATAGTGAAGGGGCATTTTATTTTTAATTTTTGTTTGGCTAAATAAGTTGGGGCTTTCTACTGTGACTTCTCAGTTTTTCATAGACATTTATGTTTTCCACAAATTAAATATTTCCCCTATTTCATATGTCTTCTTTTGGCTATTCTTTTTTTTCTTCCCATTTCCACTTTCCTGGTCCACATCAGTGGCTTGGTTCCTGTTTGCACTTATGCAAAACTGATAGAATGGAATGTCTTTTGCATACTATTGAGTATCAAAATGAGGATTATTTGGACACTATGTGTGTATTCTTAATAGTAATATATAAGAGCAAATTCCGCTTTAGAAGATATATTACTATGCGGATGGAACTAGTGGTATGTTATATTCAAAATAATGTCACAAATAATGCTATGGTAGGGCATGTCAAATTTTTCAGCGTTCAGTTTCCAAACATTAGGGGCACTGAAACATTATGGCATGTCTTGGGGGATTGTAAAGGTGTTTTGGTTGGTTTAATATAATTTAGATGTGTGTGATAAGTGAATACCATAACTTTTTAATGTTTTGTTTGTTTCATTTGGCCTTTGGGAAGAATGTTTGTGCACCATCATCTTTTCATAAGGGTTAACATTTTCAAGTTAAACCCTGAGGTTTAACTTGAAAATGAAGACAGATTGGTGCCTGCTTCTTTAGGGGCATCTGTTAGAGGAAACTTTCTCCTCTCATCACTCTAAAAGAAAAATAAATAGAGGGAGGGAGGGAGGAAGGAAAGGAGGAAAGAAGGGTAAACCTTGGAACTTTCAAACCTATGATTCAGATGATCTATAAGAATCTAATATCTTCTGAGGTGCCATTTCCTCAAAGAGCTAGGTTACATTTTGTTAACTGCACCTTTCCCTCAGACTGCCTCTGCTCAACTTCTGCCAGTCATTTTTAAGGGCTCTGCTTAAACTTTCCTGTATGTTGTTTCTTGGATTTAGAAAGGCTAATCCTCATAGACACAACAGCTTCTGTTGTGATGATAAACTCCAGCAGCTCAAAGTACTAACAGGCACTCCGAAAGGGAAAGGGGTCTCTATCCTAGACTTCCCACCAATGTGGCTACTTCTCTTAAACTTCTTTGGATTTACACCTTGGCAATTACTGGGAGGCACAAGGATCACTGGCTCTCATTAACGGTCTGATTTCAGTTCCAAAGATCCTACTAGATAATCAATTTTTATGGTCCCTTTAATGCTCCTTTCCAGCTGTTTCGGAAAGGAATTCTAACAAGGGCTTGGGCACCACTGGGCTGGGAATAAAACTAGATTTGAATACCTTGTGTTTCTCTTTTACTTACAGGGTTTTCCTTCCTCTTGGTCACTGCTCATGTTTTAAATACAGAATTTGAGCTCTCCCATCGTGTTCAGTTAGATTTTGGTCTTTGACTCCATTCAGAGGAGGCTTCCATCTGGGCGACATGACATCTCAGAATTGGTATAAAGCATCCAAGGGCTTTATACCCATATAGACTTTGGTGAGGTGGGATAGGGAGATGCTGTGGATTTCATTGAAAAGGAAAACCCTCAAGGAAATTGAGTTGATTCAGACATAATCAGTCTTGGAGTAGTTTCTTCAAATCAATGGGATAAATTAATTGTGGAGATTCATTTTCTCTGCAAATCTGGGCCCGACCATTTGGCTTGACTGGCTGAAGGGCCCAATCTACAAGTCATCTCAACCCAACTGAAAGCAAGAAAACCTCATCCAGATTCATAAATCTCTGGCTGAAAACAGCTTTTTGTCCTTCTTGGGCTTCTGTTAAGAATCTGTCTCTTATGAGGGAGCAACTGGATTTTCAGGTCCATTGTAGCTCTTGATCCTATGGATCTAGCGCCTCCCATTAAATGTCTCCAATTAAATGGGTGTGATATGGTGCTAATTGTTATCAAATTCAACTCAGATCTTTTAATAGCACTTAAAAGTATCTACATTGTCACCCAGGAGGAAAGAAAAGCAAGCTATTTGGGGTAGGATAGTCAAGATTAAACTGAACTGAATCAACTGAACTCCATTGAAGTTACACTGATCTCGCCCTGGATGGTTTAAATTGGGAAAGCCCCATAGTATGTTCAAAGTTTGAAGCTGCAAGTTGTAGTCCAAGGGAAGGAACTTTTTATTAGGCATGGGATGAAATTGGAGAGAAAGAAAATCAGCTAAAATGTGTCCCTCTGGTGCTGGAAAGGAATGTCTGCAGCGAGTAATATACACATTTCTCAATATTTCTCCACTGATCCATTTCCAGCAGAACTACATCCTGGAGGTTGACCCTCTAGGGCAGAGATTGGTATGGCAAATTTTGTACTTCTGGGTAAATATATGAACACTCAAATTAAGTCCGCTGTGATCCGTGCCTTTTCTGAAGGAGCATATTTAGGATTGCCCTGTAAAACAGCATTGCCAAACCAATTGCGTTGCATACCTTCAATTTCGCTGTCTTCAGAATGCTGCTGTTTGTCTGTCTTTGGGAGACAAAGTCTGGCTTTTTTGTTTTTTTTTATTTAGAAATTTAGAGGCAATTAAAATGGGCTCTGTTCTTTGCTTTCCAGGGAATTCCTCCTGCTAATTCTCTCTGCAGAAATTTCCATTTTATTATTCCTACCGATTGTTTCACAAAATATTATATGATAACAGAAGTTTGTGTGCGATATATTAAGAACTATCGCTTCCTCAAAAGCAACAGGTTTTTTTTTTACTTCTACCCTTTCTTCACCAAAACCACACACACACACAGACACACAGAGTACATTCTTCCACACCCCAATCCCCAATTTTTTCTCAAAATTTGGCTGATGTACTTCTAGTCTAATGCTTCTTTCTTTCTAAATGCAGATGTTTAAACCAGTAGCATATGGAAATTCAGGGCAATGATTTCATACATTTGAAAATATTTTCTCACTGCTAGTAGTGGTGATTCATATTCACCAACCGTTTCTGTGGCGATAAAAAAAACCTTGTTTTTATTGTTGTTAGATCAGCACAGCCATTGACTTCTAAGATCCTCATGAGGAAATGGCCTTTCGAGGGTTTGTTTTTATTTTGCAAAGTTGCATGACTCTTCTCTTTGAATAAATATGTATTGAACTGTATTGTAACTCTGATACGTTCTTCTGTGACTAACACTGTCCCTATTCCAGTTATAATATGGTTTGTTTTTATTATTTTTTCAATATTCAGCTAATTCATTTAAGGTTTTCATTACATTTCCTAAAATTTTCCCCTTTAATAATTCAGCTTTCTACAGTCTAACTACACAAGAGATAGAAATTTGCCTTCTCCGTTGTCCTAAAATAGTATGTAATAGAATTAATAGAATAAATAAATAGAATAGAATGAAACTGAAAGACCGTTTTGGTGAAATTAATATTTACTTTCAAGAAAATATCTTTAGGACTGCAGAGTTAGGGAAAAAAAGCCGTTTTTCAAAGCAAGATAAACATCGATGGTTTTGTGTTTTTTTAACCGGACTGGAAGTGGGACCCACAATCTGTTTATAGCGGCGTTCTGTTTCACTTCTGATTAATCAAACACGGGTTGAGGGTTGAGTGGCTTTCTTCCATGAACCAAAACAACCTATATTGCTTCTTGTGTCACAAATAAGGTGGAGATAAAATAGAGCAACAGGAAGTTCGGAGAGAAATGGAGAATGGACTTTTTAATCTTGTAAAAACATTATTTTACAATACAAGCGGAGTTTCCGAGCCGCTTTTTTTGCCGGAGGCTGAAATGACCACTGGTGGAGGTGCCAGTCGCCCTTCTGCTGGTTTCACACATGCTGGGGCTGCTGGCCGTGCGAACTCCGCTCGCCCGGATCTGCTGCTTGCCTGAAGGGCTCTCCGAGAAGGTCCCAGTTTAGCCCAGCCGTGAGTGGAAGAGTTGCTGAAACCGACTAGGCGCTTATTACGAGACATCCGGCGGCTCTTCGCAGCTATTTGCGGCCAGATTGCAAGGGCGACCACAATAAGAGCAGCGCTAGAGTAGTCCCCCTTACACACAGACACACACACACACGCACACACGCACACACACACGCACACACACACACACACACACACACACACACACGACTCACACTTCCGCTAGACGCGCCTTTTGGCGGTGGGGAGGGAGGGGAGGAGCGGGACGGGGCCTGGCAGCCCCTGCACTCTTTTCACACCAACTCAGAGATTTGGTCCAGCACATCTCCGCAACCCGCCCTCAGTTTTCGAGACGGGGGTCATTCAAAACCTGCCAGTTCACACGCCGGGGTTTGGGCTGGGCTGATCGAAGCTTCAAAGGTTGGAAGCCTTGAAAAGCTTGCGGCCCTGCAGGAGATTTTGGAGTGAGGGGCGCATTGCAACACTGATCTGGACGGGGGGAGGGAGGGAAGGGATTTGACCCGCATCGCTGCCCATTTCCCATCTTTCAAAGTCCAGGACAAGCCGCGGGTCCTCCGGGCGGGGTGGGGGGAGTCGGATAAGGAGGCGCGGTGACACCCCATCCTCACCCCATCCCCCCACATCCATTGCAGCCCCCTCGGCTCCCTCAGAAAGAGGTGGAGCGCCTATCAATAACTAACTACCTGTAGCGAGTATACGACAGCAGCTGACAACTGGGTCTGTCTGTCTGTCTGTGTGAGGTGTAAGGCAATCCCACTGCAGCGCGATCCTGAAGACAATTGCGCTTTGTTTTATCTCTTTATATTTCATATTTCTTAATAGATGCTCTGCCAGGCTGGAGAAAACAAGGTGAACACGGCATCTCACCCTGAACGAAAGGAAAATCAAAACAAAAACAAAACTTGTTTTGTTTTTTAAAATTTTTTTAAAAAATCCATTCCTGCGGATTTCAATTGCATTTTAGCAGATCCTAAGCCAGGTCCCCCAAACAAAGTCCCCACCTATATTTGGGGCAATCGCCTGTCCCGTCCCCACCCCCTGGTCTATCCACGTTGCGTTTGTTTTTTTGTGTGAAGCGATTGGTATAGGAGTCCTTAAAAAGGCAGAAGGCATACTTGCGTGAAAATTTGTCTCAGAGGCGTCCTGCTCGCACCTCCGGCGAAAACGGCGGAGCTAAACCAAGTTGGAGCGCTTCCCTTTTTAAAGAATAGAATAGAATTCTTTATTGGCCAAGTGTGGTTGGACCCACAAGGAATTTGTCTTGGTGCAAATGCTCTCAGGAAAAGAGACATTCGTCAAGAGTCCAGAATCATCAGGTACAACACTTAATGATAGTCACAGGGTACAATAAGCAATCAAATCACACTAGGAAACAGTCAATCAATATAAATTGTTAGGGTACAAGCGACAAAGTTACAGGCATACAGTCAGAAGTGGGAGGGGATGGGCGATAAGAAATGATTTTAAAGAACCAAACCAAGATCTGCGGGACAGTAATTAGCAGCACTGAGTTTGGAACAGGCTTTTTGTCGAGGAAGGGTGACAGCAGGGTAGCCTGGACCGAACTCTCCCTTCAATCCGTCCCCTCCCGTCCCACAGGCGTGGGGCCGCTCCTTCCACCCTACTGGGCCGAAGGGCGAAGGGATGTTCCAAGTTGCCCAGCCAAACCGGGGATGGAGGAACGCGGCGTTAGACTTCGCCAAGCCTGGGCGCGCCCAAAAGGATCCCGAATCCCATCATCCCTTTCCTTGGGAGTGAGGGCGCTGTCGTCCAACTTCTCTGCGGGATGCCCACGTGGGGCCGAGGCACACGCACACACCCCTGTGAGGCCACTGAACTGGTAGAGGCCGGACAGAGATGGACACACATACACAACCAGCATTTCAGATTCGACTCCAATTCCTTCTCGTTTCTTGCAATTCATGAATTGTGGATCTATCTAGCTATCCAGATGCTCAATACAATGGATGATGATGATGATGATGAATGATGATTGGTATCAGAGTCAGCCAGATGATTAGACTGAGTTTGGCATTTTTATCCACCTATGGAATCCTTCCCAAGGGTCTGAGATAGCCAGAGGTTGCTTGGTAGTATTAAATGTACAGTGATGGATAAAATCTGCCTTTTGTAATGGGCTGGTCATGGTTTGGTCAATGCCGGTGGTATTCAAATGATACTCCAAACGTTTTGGGACTGCACCCCAAGTGCCTACCATCTTTGTTTTCTTTTGCCACAGTCGTTCTACTTCTGTTTGCAGGTCTTTGTATTTTGTGACTTCTTCCCCAGTTCTTTCTCTTCTCTTCTATTATCTCCAGGTACCGCCATGTTCATTATTCAGACTTTTTTGTACAATTAACCTTGACGTGTTATGTGGCAAATGCTTCTGTTTGTGCTTTAAAGTCTCAGAGCACCTTAGCTTTATTTTCTATTTTATTTGTCTATTTTATATGTACTCCATGTTGTTTGATGGTGCTAAAACTGTTGTCACCGAATGTAAGCTGTTCCAAATGAAATTGCCTTTTGCAATTGATTGTTAGTGGTTTTGTCAATGCTGATGGGTTGTTATAATTATTATCTTGATTAGCAATCATTTTCAAAGGATTAAAAAATACTAAGGCAAAGAAATTATAGACCTGAAAGATAAAAGCAATGGAGGAAATATAAATATATATAATAAATGTACATCAAAATTATTATATTTCCCTGTACTTTTCCATTCTGGCGCACCAGTTTGTTTCCATCACATGAGTTGCTTCATACATTGCTTTCCATTTTGTTTTGTTTTTAAACCATCACCTCTTTCTTTTGCAGAATTACACTTTCTTTATCAAACTAGGTTTTATGGGTCTTTCCCATTCCTTTATTTGCAATTTGATATTCATTACTTCTCTGTGTACCACCTCAACATACGATTTTATTCTGGACACTTATTTTTATAATCAGTTCAAATAAATTCTTATTTTTTAACTACACATATTTTAATGATCCCATTCCCATTTCATTCAGCTTAGTCTTATGTTTCTGCTGACAACTTTCACCTCCATATAACAAAGTGGGCAGAAGAACATTCTTCTTTTCACTCCACTTCTTTTAACCATTATAGAAAAACCGAAAAACAGAATTGGAAGGGACCTTGGAGGTCTTCTAGTCCAACCCCCTGCTCAAACAGGAAATGCTATGCCATTTCAGACCAATGGTTGTCTAATCTCTTCATTAAAAACTCCAATGTTGGAGTGAATATTCCTGATACATTTTATCTATGAATGCATAAACATCTAAGGGATTTAACACATCTGTCTTATTCCTTGATGAATTTGTAAAAGCATTCTGATCATATGTACTTTCATCGTATCTTGTTCTTGTCACATTCAGCAACCAAACTTCAGTTCAAACCTTCCATAATTCAGGCATGTTTACATTATGAACTCTCTCTCCAAATGTATATAATAAAATAACTAATGTATGATAAATATTTCCTCTTTCACGCATATCTCAATGACTGCCTATTCCCTGCCCAAATAAAACTGTATTGTATTTCACTAATTTTGTTCATTGTCGCAGTTCTTTCAATCATAATTCTACTAAATACCTTCCCAGATACATATTCTGAACTAATTATCCTGTCAGTTGGCATTCATTCTTGGTACTTTTCTTTTAAAATATGGAAGATTTAAAATAATGACATTCTTCCTATCATCAAACATTGATGAAGCTTTCAAGCAGCCTTAGACAATCCACACAGTCGCTGCACAAGCAAACCATATCCATACATTTCTTCAGTTAAACCAGCTACACCTGCAGCCATAACATTTTGCAATATTCCCACAGCATACATCACTTTCCTTTCTTTATTCTTTTCTTAACCCTGTTAAGTTTGTATTGTAGAATGCTGTATTTGTTTCAGTGTCACTCTTTGATATAATGCAATCATTCACATGCAAAATTTTAAATATTGGTTTTATCTTAAATCAGTTTAGGGTAAAGTCTAATCACTGCTGGAGGTTTCTTGTTTAGTCCCTTTCAACCACTTCCAGTGCAGATCTTTATACCTGACAAGTCTCATTCTTGACACTACCTAAAATAATTTGACTACATTCAAAATCTCTCATAATTTTGTATTCTTCATGAATAGTTTTAGATATTTAACCATAAATATCTAATAAGTTATGCTTGTATGTTTTCATTCCTTCATTCTTTTACATGTGTACATATGAATAGACTACTTAAATCATGTACAAAATAGGTGTACATCACCAGTAGCTACTCTCGCTGTGTCTCTTTTTTACTTTTTTAAAAAATAATCTCTTTTCTCATTCCCACCTATCTATTCCTAACAGTTAACAGAATAATTCTTCTGCCTTGGATTAAGTTCATTTGGAGTGTTGTAAATTTTTTCCCCACCATTCAACTTTAGTTCTTCCATTATTATCATTTACTGGTCTACAACATGCATCACTGATCTTTGGGTTCTTAGTTTCATATATGTCCATAAGAAGTAGATGTCATCCATTTATATTTTCTGATGTACATGTTACCACTTTCATTTATAATTAAATCTACACTGTCACTTCATTGCATATATTCATCAGTTCCACTCCACAAAAACAAGATCTCAACATCTTCATTCAGATCTATTAAAGTCTTCTACTTTCTCTGATTTCATGTGCTTCTACCTTTCTTCTTTCCTTTCTTCCTTTCCTTCCCTTCCTTCCTTCCCTTCCTTCCTTCCCTTCCTTCCATCCTTCCTTCCTTTCCTTCTATCCCTCCATCCTTCCCTTCCTTCCTTCACTTCCTTCTGTCCCTCCTTCCTTCCTTCCATCCCTTCCTTTCCTTCCTTCCATCCCTCCGTCCTTCCCTTCCTTCCTTCACTTCCTTCCGTCCCTCCTTCCTTTCCTTCCTTCCTTTCCTTTCCTTTCCTTTCCTTTCCTTTCCTTTCCTTTCCTTTCCTTTCCTTTCCTTTCCTTTCCTTCTTTCCTTTCTTTTTCTTCTTTCCAAATGCTAGTCATCACCAGATGGATCCACAGATCCTGACTTGCACCATCCACCATTGCTTTGATCCACTAATTCTTTTCAATAACATTGATTAATATAATATACCCTAGATTATCAGTCTTGCTCACATCAGTGTCACCTGCAGCATTCTTTACTAATGACAAGGACATCTGGGGTGGAAATATAATGAAAAGGCCATTTTCACTCCAGTTTTTCTCGTGCTGTTCCAGGCAAGCTGTGTTCTCTAATCTAGAATCCACCTAGCAAGACAACACATTGCTGCCTTCACCACACCTCCTAGGAGAGATATTTGGTGTATAGATACAATTCAGGATTAGGCCACAGTGCTTTACATATTTTGCAGATAAATGCCTTTGTCTGCTTGCCTTGATATTTTTGAGGAAAGCATTTATCTTGTCCAGGGCCTTGGCTGCTGGGTGTCAATGAATGCCTCTTCCTAGCTCAGCTCAACCTGTCACCCTTTTTAATTAAAGCATTCCAAATTCTCTTTTCAAGAGAAAAGTCTGAACAAACACACAGCCTAAATGCCGACAGCAGCAGTGGGCCTGGGTCCTCCAGCACTATTGTGGCTGTTTTTAAAGCGTTTCCCCTTGTCTTGGTGGTGACCATCCCAAAAGGAAATTGCTTTTACTTGTAAAGGAAACTTTCAAAGGCCGGGGAAAGCTCCTTCAGAGAAAGAGGTCATAGGGTTAGGGGGCGGATTACAGTCTTCCCACCCCCGACCCCCTTCAAAATCCAGGGCAAGACTTCTAACATCTGGAACAAGGAAGCGAGAAAAGCTGGAGTTAGGGCAGAAGTGGGGAGCTTCTTTGGCATTAAAAATTTCAAATGGTCACTGGCAAAGGTTAAGGATGAGTTGCTGGTAAATTTGTCCTTGATTTCCAGCATCTTCCTAGGAAACCCGTCACGTGTCACTGGGTACTGGAACAAAGGGGGTTTGACAGCAGCCACGACACCCACCCACACTTACAAAATGGGGATTTGCTAAAAAAAAGGGGGGGGTTTCCCTCACTAAAACCTGCAGAATTCCCTTTGAAGAGGCTCTGTTGCCACCACTAGGAAGTTCCACTTCCTGAGCTCCCATAGGAAGACGAAGTTGGGAATTTTGTTCCTCCGAAACACAGGGAGAAGTGCAAAGAATCTGCAGGGAGATTTCAGAACAAAAGAGAAGCCTTGGTTTGTCTCACTCCCTTTCAAGGTGTTGGGAGTTTAATAGTCTGGGCATCGATCCTCATCCAGCCTCCTTCAGTGGATGGGGTTTTGTGCAACAATCTAATTAAGGTGCATTGTAGCTTTCTTTCTGGCCCTTAGCTGGTGTGCTTTGAAGGGGGGTGAATCAAAAGGAAACCCACCCCTAGGACTTCCAAGCAGGGGCAGCTTAGCCATCTAGCCCACCACCAAAACACCCACCTACTGTTATCCCAGTTTTCCAGCCTGCAGAGAAGGACTGTCACCTCCACCTCAAGCCTTCAAGGCCAGTTTTCTGCAGCGCTCCATTTGATCGGGAGTAATTTTGCTGTCTGGATAAGCCCCACACTGAGATTCGGGGCATCGTTTTTTCCTACTTTCTAGAACAAAGTGGCAGGTGGAGCCAAGGAAAGAGACAAATCAAAAGGATAAAGAAGGAAGGCATGATGAGTTGAAACTCTGGTTTCATTTACATTATTCTTTTAGCAATCCTAGCCTAAATCAAGCCAAAATTTAATCTAGTTTCCATTGAAACAAGAAAGAACCATACACGACACTCTGGCACAACTCAGAAAGAGCACAGGATAAGCTCAGTAAAAGCTCCAAGGTCTGTTACTGATGCACAGTTGGTTCAATAAGATATAGGGCCATGATGGCAAACCTATGGCATGAGCGCCACAGGTGGCATGCAGAGTCATTTGTGCGGGCATGCAAGCCCCAGGAAAACTTATCTCACTGCACATGCGCACACCTCCCAGTTAATTTTGGGGCCTTTTCCAGCCTGCCAGAGGCTTGAGGGAAGCCTCTGCAGGCCAAAAAAATAGGCCTGTTTCATCACTTCCTGTATTTCCAGAAATATCGGAAGTAATGAAACTTCTGCCTGCAAAGCCTGAAAAGGCATCTCTCAAACCTCTGGCAGGCTGAAAAAGGCCTCAAATGGGCCGAAAATCAGCTCGACAGCGCAGTGCAGGTAACGGGGTGGCAGGGGGGAAATCACGCACGCATGCACAGGGGGCATGGGTGTGTGTGTGCGCATTGCCTTCTGGGTGTGGGCATGTGCACAATTTTGATCCTGACCGACTGGACTCAGCTGTCCATCCTTCCGAGTCAGTAAAATGAGGACCCAGAGATTGTTGGGGGCAAGAGGCTGATATTTGTAAACCACTTAGCGAGTGCTATAAAGCACTATGAGGCAGTATATAAGTGCTATTGTTATTCTATTGTTGTGTTGGCTCTATCAGTTACAGGAAGAACACAACTTACAACCAATTGTTCAGTGAGCTCTTGAAGTTACAACGACACAAATAAAGTGACTTACACTGGGTCCTTGCACTTATTATTGTCATGGCATCCCCACTGTACCATGATCAAAATTCAGGTGCTTGGCAACTGGCATGTATTACTAATGTTGCCATGTTCTTCCCAAAAAGTTAGAATATTTTGGATGTGTGATGCAACCCCCAGAAAAATACGGCCTACTTCACTTAATCTTCCAAGGAAAAATTGAAGGCAAATGAGGTCCAGGCAGAAGAACATCATCATGGCTTCAAAATCCAAGGGACTGGTTTGGACAAAACTCAACGGCGCTTTTTCATGCAGATGTTGATAAAAATAGAATTGCCAATGTCCAATGACAAATATGCCACACGAAGAAGAAGACGTGTCCTTCCCAGTTGGATTCCAACAAATAAAGTCAATACGAAAGCCAGATTTGCTTAAGGAACAGTGATTCACCTAACATCCATAACCAAAAAAAGGTCATAAAATTAGGCATGATTCATTTAACAGCCACCTTGCTTAACAATGGAGATTTTCATCCCACCTTATGCCACCAGACTTGAAATTCTAGAACTAGAAAACCTTGAATTACGCTGTCTTTGGTCCAATTTAAGTATGGTGTATAAAATCATACATTGCAATGTCCTACCTCTCAATGAATACTTCAGCTTCAACCATAACAACACAAGAGCAAACAATAGATACAAACTCAAGGTTAACCGCACCAAACTTGATTGCAGGAAATACGACTTCAGCAACAGAGTGGTCAATGTCTGGAATACTCTACCCGACTCTGTAGTTTCTTCCCCAAACCCCAAAAGCTTTAATCTTAGACTGTCTACTATTGACCTCACCCCTTTCCTAAGAGGTCTGTAGGGGACCTGCATAAGCGCACCAACGTGCCTATCGTCCCTGTCCTATTGTTTCTTTTATTTTTCTTTTATTTTTCTTATACGTACCCATTTCATGTATTCATAACTATGTATACACTTATACTTATTATCTTGTAAACAATTGACAAATCAAATAAATAAATAAATAAATAAATAAATAAACTAAGGTTGTAAATTGAGGGTTACCTGCAGAAGACTTATTGCATAAGTTACAGTACAAGGACAAGACAAGTGCTAAGCAACAACCAGACAACTCACAGAATATATGTTAGGGGGATTGTATAAGAAAACAGGACTTGAAATACCTCATCTTTGTTTCCAGGGGAAAACAAGTTTGTGTTTGCCTAGTGAAAAAGTAAAGGCTTCAAACAGTTTAACCGAAGCCAAAGAAGAAATAGTAATACAAGTGGTAGATACAAAACATTGACCCCAGGTTCAGCCAATCTAGAACTCCATAACATTTGAAATATTGTGCATAACTCTTATTACTGTAACCTTAACTCAGAGTATCATAGAGCTGTAAAAGGCAGCAAGAGAAACCAAAATGAAACTGGGGTTACTCTTCTGTAATGAAGTTTTTCACAACAAGGGCTTTTCAGGTAAGAAGTAAGTGCAATACAATATAATAGACATGTGCAGAAACGGTGTCGTGAAAATGGGTAGGTAATAAAGCCTCTTAATTATTCTAAATTCAAAGGAGCCTTCTACTATAGAGACACTGCAGTGGAAATTCAAGAGCAAAGGTAAATATTGTTTCATACCAGGGATTCTCAAAAATATGAAAATTGCAGGTGCAAGATGTGCTGATGGCTATCAAACCCGAACAGTTTTAAAGAGGATTAGGCAAATTAGTGAAAGGTTAAAAAAAAAATCAATTGTCATGATGCTGTGTATCTTCAGGGACAGTAGCTCTGTCCATACCAAGTGCTAGAAGAACACAACTGTAAATGTCCTATTATATTCGTCTCCTACTTCTTATTGACATCTGGCTTGTAATGGTGGGAACCAAATACTGGGCTAGTTTTGATCCAGTACAGCTTTTCTTATGCTAATGTTCTTGTAGTATTAGGCAGCTGAGCAGCTTTTAGTAGCCAAGAGATTTTTTTAAGTGACTGAAGCACGGAGCCTCCCATGGTTTCTCCTGAACTAAGCTAAAGAGAGATCTTCCAATCTATCCATCACAAGCTTGACAAATAAACCGACATCCTGCTTTCTTTTCATCAGGCACCAGAAAGTAGCCATCAGATGGGGAAGAGTCAGACAGTTCTTCAGTTGTGCAAAAAGTTTAATTTTAAAAACAAATAAAAATGAGATTACCAGATCACCCCAAGCTAAGGAGTCCAGGACAACTTGCCACGGCCAACTTCCAATAGCCAACTTGCTGCGGAACAATCCACTGCAGAACAAGAGTTACTTTAATATTGAGGGAATGGTGGAATAGAATCATTAAAGACAGGATGTCAAAGGAGGGAAAGAATGAAATATGAATGACAAAAAGTAAAATAGATTTTAATTATTTTAAATAAGTAAATTGAAAATTCTCCTGTGGCGAGTTGACCAAAACAAGTTGGCTGTGACATGTTGTCCCATTCTAAAGCTAAGACAGTTGCCTTAGCAAATAAGGATGCATGCTTTCCATAAAATTTGCTTCTGCACGATGAATTTGGAGTGGATTTTGGTTAGCCTTAAGGTTCAAAAAGATCCATAACAGAGAGGAAACTTCTAAAGCACTTGTGGATATGAATGAAAATGGAGATATTAGAGAGGATCTGAACAGATTGTAGAATCTTCAAACACCCTTCTTCAAGAGCTTGCTCTAATAAACCTGCATAAAGTTCTTATGTATTTGATTCTCTTCCAAAACAATAATTCCAGGTTTATCCAAAGCAGTACCACTCTTTCTCCATCTCCGTTTCTCCCCATCTTTACTTTCAGATAACTAGAACAAAGAATTGATTGGGAAATCCAGCAATTATACATAGAGAAGCAGAGCAAAAGACAAAAGGATTCTGAAGAGGCAAAGCTATCAAGTTGCCGGATGAAGAATATGACCAACTGAATGAAGTGCTCCTACCCTCTTGGGCCAAAGAGGATAAATACGAGCATTCTTTACAGGCAAACGTTATGGGAAACAGCTAGTGGCCAGAATTGGTAATAGATGAAGGAAATGAAATGGAGTGGAACAGAACAGAACAGAACACCTTATCGGTCAAGCATGATTAGACACACACAGACTTTGTCTCTGACGCATAAGCTCTCAATGTACATACAAACAACAAGGTAATATAATCAGTGTACATACAAACATGCAAACAAGATGTACATACAAACAATGAGCATATATACAGGCAAGGTAATAAAATTATAAGACCCCAATAGGAGAAGATAGTAGAAAACATCAGAAGGATAACAGTAGTGCAACCATACTACATGGGTAAATATTTTTACACATAAGACAGTACTGGTATGGGAATTAGGGGTTCAACAGAATGATGTCACGAAGAAAAAAAGTAAGGGAAAATGCAGGCAGTCATTAATAGGTGCTAGGTCAGAAAGAGTATTTTAAATTAGATGATGCTTCTTCACATAGAAGACTTTTGCTGAATATGGAAGTATTGCAGCGATTGTGATCACCCAAAATATTGTTTGGATAGGCCACAGAACAGGTAAATAATGATTGGTAGCTGCTCTGCATTCAACCATAAGGTATCAAGATGCAAAGGTGTAACCTTTCAGCTGTAGAGATTTTGGCAAGCACAACCCACAGGAAATGTGTGGAGTGGTCTGCACCAGATGAAATCTATTCTCATACAATATTTATTTAAATCTGTTTGGAGGAGAAAATGTGAATCTTTCCATCCTCAAACAAAATGCAGTTCTAGAATTTAATCAAGTTAGTTCCGTTGTCCACATGTGTGTGTAGAGAGAGAGAAAGACTGAGAGAGGGAGAAGGGGGAGAGAAAGAGAGAGAAGGAGGCAGAGAGACAGGTGTTTAAAAATAAAATTTTGCTCCAGTGTCAATGATATTACTTCAATAAACACTTTCTGTCTCTGATTCACACCATACTTTGTCAACAGCAAGGTGTTTTAAAATATAATTGCATTCAAATCAGCTCTTTGCTTTGGAGAGAAATTTGTATCTAAGCTTTAATCTGCTGATAGCAGCTGCTTCTATATGATATCTAGTTTTTTACCAGCATTGAAGAAGCTGAGATACTTGTTCCTTATCTTTTTAAATGCTTCTTTCACACCTCAGTTTATGACTGAAATATCTCCCAATACTGTTAATCATGAAAATGAGTTTGTCACTCAAACCCTTGATTTTCTTTTAACAAAAAGTTGATAAAGCATTATTTAAGTTAGCAGTTCTATTGTGGTGTTATCTACTTATACTAATGCTTATGTTAGATATCACCATCAACTGATACTATTTTTGTTACAGTGATAATTAGTTGATCTTTTGCCAGCTCCAAGAATGTTCTCATTATATTATTTGTATTCACATTCATGGCTTCCTATGATCTAAACGAAACAGTATAAAATATTATTCGTGAAAATGTGTGTATATATATATATATCAATTGTCAATAGCAATATGTATGTGTGTGTGTGTACGTGTACCGTATGTATGTGTGTGTGTGTGTGTGTGTGTGTGTGTGTGTGTGTATGCAGGTCCTGGCGTGTTTGGGTCTTTTCCCGTGTAAGACTGAGAGCATCTTGGCAACGTTTTGACGAGGTCCCACTCGCCATCTTCAGGCTGGTGCTTTCGGCTTCGTGCTTGTGCGAGCAAAGCGTGATCAGAGCTGCTGTCTCCATATATATACTGGTGGGGAGGTTGGCTGTGTTGTCATTTCTTGATTGATTGATGAGAGTTGATGTTTGCAGATCAACACACACACACACACACAAACCGTGGTGGTGCAGTGGTTAGAGTGCAGTACTGCAAGTTGACTCAGCCTTCCATTCTTCTGAGGTGGGTAAAATGAGGACCCAGATTGTTGGGGTAAATGTGCTGACTCTTTAAACCGCTTAGAGAGGGCCGTAAAAGCACTGTGAAGCGGTACCTAAGCCTAAGTGCTGTTGCTATTGCTATTTATTTGTCTGACTTCAGAAAACTCTATTATTTTCTTTTAACTCACAAACGTAAGTTACAGCAATGTATTGCCCAAGGTGATAAATTCTGTGGGTTTATTTTGCAAATCTTTATAATATGGGGAACTCCAGTCCTTTGCTGCTAAGAACAGTGCATTAGATTTTCACAAATTGTTTCCATCCAAATGTTTTAGTTTACCAGGTCTATAAAATATCCACAAAGACGGCAATGCTGAGTATGGATGGTAAGAACTATGGTCATTTGAAGAATATCAGATTGAAGTCTCCATCACAAAATTTGTGAATACTTCCATTTGTTTCTAAATCAGAGATGGTATTCAGCAGGTTCTGACCAGTTCTGGAGAACCAGTAGTGGAAATTTTGAGTAGTTCGGAGGACTGGCAAATACCACTTCTGTCTGGCCCCACCCCCATCTATTCTCTGCCTCCTGAGTCCCAGCTCATTGGCTGGGTCTTCTTTGGTTGCCCTGCACAGGAGAACGGAACTGGAAAGCAGATTAGTGGGGTGGGGAGGGAATGGGGATTTTGCAGTATCCTTCCCCTGCCACGCCCACAAAGCCACACTATACCCACCAAGCCACACCCACAGAACCGGTAGTAAATTTTTTTGAATGCCACCACTGTTCTAAATATATATTAGTCCTCTACTTACAACCATTCATTTAGTGACAGTTCAAAGTCACAATGGCCCTGAAAAAAGTGACTTACCACCATCGCAGGATCCCTACAACTACAGGGATCAAAATTCAGACATTTGGCAACTGGAATGTGTTTACAAAGTTTGCAGTGTCCCATTGTCACCTGATCACCACTTGCAGCTGACTTCTGACAAGCAAAGTCAGTGGGGGAAACCAGATTTGCTTAACGACCACATGATTCACTTAACAGTTGCAAAGATTAGCTTAATAATTGCGGCAAAGAAGTTGCAAAATGGGGCAAATTCACTTAACAACTGCCCTGCTTGGCAGCAGGAATTTGGGGCTCAATTGTGGTCTTAAGTCCAGGACTAATTGCTTATCCTAATGAGGGTAAGAAGGTCTCACTCCTATTTTTATTCTCTGCCCACTTTAGCATTTCTCAGGGACGGTTGCAGCAAAGAAAGTTTATAGAGAAACTGGACTGTAATTGGCTACTTACTTTTTGCTTCATTGGCTATAACTAGAATAATGATGACTTTACACTGAAGAAAACTGCAACGTCTTTGCAAACTATTTGGTGACATCTCACAAGAGCCATAAGCCATTTTCAGGTCAAATTATCTTCAAAATAAAACAAACTTTTTGTTATACATAGATATTTAAAGACTCCTAAGGCAGACCCCTTTACTATATTTTTAAGCGTAAGCGGAATGTGTATATGTGTGTAGGTAGGTAGTGATGTGTTTAACTGAACATTTATGCCTGGCAAGTACTTGGACAAGTCTTTGTAGTTTCCTTGACAAGGTTCTGCAAAAGTGGTTTGCCATTGCCTCTTTCCTAGGGACGAGGGAGAGGGGCTGGCCTAAGGTCACCCAACTGGGTAAAGCAGCTGAAGGCCAGACAAGGAATAATGGATGGAAACGGAACAAGGAGAGATTCAACCTAGAAATAAGGAGAAATTTTCTGACAGTGAGAACAATCAACCAATGGAACAGAAGTTGCCTTCAGTATTGGTCAAGTATTCAAGTATTGGTCTAGCAAATGTTTTATATGCTCACACTACTAACTAGAGCATACAAAACATTTGCTAGACCAATACTTGAATACAGCTCATCAGTCTGGAACCCGCATTACGTATCTGATATTAATACAGTTGAGAAAGTCCAAAAATATTTCACAAGAAGAATTCTCCACTCTTCTACTCATTGCAGAATACCTTATGCCACCAGACTCGAAATTCTAGACCTAGAAAACCTAGAACTACACCACCTTCAGTCCAATCTAAGTATAGTATATAAAATTATACATTGCAATGTCCTATCTGTCAATGAATACTTCAGCTTCAACCATAACAATACAAGAGCAAACAATAGATACAAACTCAAGGTTAACCGCACCAAACTTGATTGCAGGAAATACGACTTCAGCAACAGAATGGTCAATGTTTGGAATATTCTACCTGTGGTTTCTTCCCCAAACCCCAAAAACTTTAACCTTAGACTTTCCACTATTGACCTTACAAATAAAGACTACAGAGGATGTTGGAGCTCAGAGCTGGAACCATGCAATTGGGCACTCCCTCCCAAAATGGGGGAATGCACACGGTACCACCGCTAGATGGCAGCAAAGCGGTTCAGAAATTATCACCCCATCTGGATTTTGGGGGGTCCGGATCTGGGGGCTCTAATGCGGCATGGGGGGAGGAAGCAAGCCTCCAGGTCGATTTTTCCAATTGGCGGGGGAAGAGTGGAAAAATTAAAAGACAAAAAGTGGTGTATGTTTTATGAGTCGAAAGTCTGCATTAGGTGTGAAGGTGAAGAAAGTAGAGAAAACTGCACCTTGCCTGGGCCACAATGAGTTTGCGATAGAGAGAACACTGATAATCCAGCTGCATATCCAAATGCCAAAGAATCCGTTTGATCCACAAGGATCAAACAACACACTTTTATTACCAAGAGCGTCTATGTAATGTCCTGGAATGACTGTGGGAAAGAGAAGGAAAAGCTGCAGATTGGACAACCAGTATTTAGATGGGCCAGTACCAGTGGTACTTATCACCCAGTTCTGGAGTTTTGATACACACACACACACACACACACACACACACACACACACCTGTGGCCACATGATTATTTGTTGGGTTCCTGACAACTGGTTAGGTGCAGTGTTCTAAAGTTTGTCAATGCAATTTACGACTATTATTATTATTATTATTATTATTATTATTATTATTATTATTATTTTGCAGGAAAATATTCTTTTTGGCCAGTTTCTGGCAAATAGCTATCTATCTATCTCTTGCTTAATGACCTTTTTTGCTTTGCAGAAAAAGTTGAGAAATTGTGTTGGTCATGAGGATGCTTGACTTATGACCATCATGACTTATGGTCACAAGTCAACTACTAACTGAAAATAGGAGCTCAGTGCTCAGAAGGAGAAGAGGCGTTGGAAATATTTCAAAAGGGACCCCCCCTAGTTTTCTGGAGA